TTTTTCCTTCTTTAAAGAAGTAAATAGGAAAAATAAAAAACAAACCAAAAAGAAAACAAATATAACAAAAAAAAAATAAAAAAAAAAAAAAGCAAAGAAAGAAAAAAAATAATAAAAACATATATAAAAGAGAATATAAAAGAGAAAATGACAAAAAAAAAAAACAAAAAGGACAGTAAAAAATTCTATTTTTTAGCTGAAAAAATTATATAACAAATACAAAATTTGTATATTTCTACTATAAAGCTTTATCTTATTATTTAAATTTTTCAACTCAATTATCCGAACTCCAAACTGATATAAACAGCCAAACTTACTATTAAGTGAAGTAGCATGGCTTGTAAACAAAACAAACCAGATACATGATCGCAGTTTGCCAAAACTGTCCAGATTTAGGAGGTATAAACAATGCTGATTTTTTGAAGGAGGTAAGCTATTTTGCCCACTTTTGTAGGAATTTTGAAAGAGTAGCAAAGATATGGAGAGAAAGTACAATACTACTTGTCTTGTTTATAAAAGAGTGTATATTTTTTACTAAATGCAACAGCAATCTATAATATCTCATTTGAAAGCAGGAAGGCACAAGTACTTTACTTATTTTTTGGTGAGTGATAAACTCTGGGCTTGTTAACAAATAGCATATGAGAACTATTTTTAAATGACAAGTGCCGGCTCTAGTAATAGTAATAAACTCTAAAGAAGTTAGCAAATAGCATATGAAAACTATCTCTAAATAATAACTGCTGAGTTATGGAGCTTAAAAATTATTTTTCTAACTATTTCTACCTCTACAAATGCTTGTATTTTTTCAATAAAAATTTTGAATTTATAGTAAAAGTGATTGTTAAAAAGAGTTAATTGAGTTGTATATTAATTTTATCTTTTATTTTTCAAATATATACTAATTATCACTATAATTTTATTATAGTTTATGATTTTATTATAATTTTGATTTATTATATATATAAATAACAATTGTAATTAATTAAATTATTGCAAATAAAAAATTTAATTATAATAAAAAAAAAATTACATGAATCAAATGATAAATTAATTAAATTAATACAATTTTTTTTAATCTATTTGTAATCATAAAAATAATGGTTTGACTTTATGAAATACTTTTAAAACTTTTATAAATTCCAAGTAGCCATTTAGCTTAAGCATTTAAATTTGATTTTTATCCAAATTAGAAGCTTCTTCATAAAATTTAAAAGCTTTTCTTTCAACCTTTTTGACTTTATTTTCAAAGACATAATTTATTCTCTTTGACACCAATTCTAGAAAAATATTTGGCTAAATTAACTTTAATCAAGAAACAAAATAAGTAACTAGTTAACAAATAAGCACAAACAAGAAGAAATTGATAAAGGTAAAATATAGAAGAATACTATTTTTTTCATAGTTATGTCTAAGCTTAGCAACTAGTAGAGTTCATCCAAAACTAACTTTAACTTTCACAACATGAATTGGCTAAAAATTCTTCATGTCTTGTGAAAGTATTTTGCAAATAGCAACCAAATCCTGGTAAAGAAGCTTTGAAAAAGTATTACTTTAATAAAGCACCAGTTCGAAATTTTGCTAGTTAGAAATCTTCAAGTTTCTAATAGAAATAAGATTTTAAAATATTAATAAACTTTAAATCTGAGATTATTTTCCATTTATATATAAATCAGTTTCAAACTTGTACTATTTGATAAAGCAAACCCCATAGAATAGTGTTATTTAGAAGATATTTTTAATATCTTTCATATGTTATGTGGTTTAATTAGGAGTAAGTAAAATGGTTCTAAAATTTTCATAGTAAATTTTTAAAAATTGATCTACATTTTACTATAATTCTGCACTCATATATATGGACATGTGGCATACTGTATTTCCTGACTGATAGAGGGAGGTGCTCAAGAACAACCTTAGCCAATCAGCATTAACTCTGAAAAAAAAGATGGTCTATTTCATATTTTTTCAGTGAAGTCCAAATCTCAAATTAAATTCTCAAAATTGAATTATAAAAATATTTCTGACGTTTAAGTCTGATTGGTTTGTTTAATCAAACTGGCCAATCAGATTCTTTATTATTGAATTCCATATAGTGAAATCCATAATATAAAAAGTATGAAAATGCTTGATCAATATTCTATTCACTTTAATATTTATAAAGTTTTATAAAAAAAAGGTGGTTTGGGGCAAAAAGTTTTTTGACTAAAATGGTAAACTCACTGATTATTTTTCACTATTTAAAATTGATGGGTCAAACAAAGTAAGGTAAATAGGGTAATTTGACGAAGTTGAAAAAAATCTCACATAATTTGATATATATTGGTCCAAATTGAATAATTTTAGTACCATTCGATTTGTCTCGATGGGAAGAATCGAATGGTACCAAAATTATTCAATTTAGATCACAGGGTCATGAGTTATTAACAATCATATATTACACGAATTTGGAAGAGGGTATTGTGAAGCAGGGTAATTTGACGAATTGTAGGGATATCTCGTGATCTTGTAATCGAAACCAGGCAATTTTAACACCATTCGATTAGTCTCATCGAGACGATTCGAATGGTACAAAAATTGTTTGATTTCGATCAGTGGGTCACGAGATATTAGCATCCGAATATAATATATTAATTTTTTAAAAAAAAATCATAAATTATATTCGGACGCCAATATCTCATGACCCAGTGATCGAAATCAAACGATTTTCGTACCATTCGAATCGTCTCAATGAGACGAATATATCGCAATTCGAATTCGTCAAATTACCCTGTTTACCTTATGTCGAAAATGTGTCGGAAATTAGCGGAAAGTATTTTTAATCGAACAATAGAGCTTGTCATTAAGATTGTTTATTACGTGAAAGAAAAAAATTCTAAATAGTAAAAAATGAACAGTGAGTTTACCATTTCAGTCAACGCGCTGACCTAATCAAAACCTTATAACTATTAAAGTGAATAAAGTATTGCTCAAGCGCTTTCATACTTTTTATTATGGATATTCATTATCGACACTTATTTTTTGTAAAACTTTCGATAAACTATTTAGAATCTTCTCAAGCGGCGATTGAGATCTATTTTGATCTATCGTTGCAAATGAACATCACTACAATTATTAGAAAATCACAGTAATACTAATGCTTGAGCATATCTCAATAATAACTTCATTCGTTTTATTGACTTTTATCCAAAATGGTATGACAGTAGCTAAAATTGCGTCATAATACATACATGTGCACTATTTCGATCATTATGAAATCGCATCTAGGTTGATCCAGAAGGGAAACTAGTTTAGGCATTACGTACGTATATCTATATATCTGATGTCCTATCTGCTATACAGTCAAACACTCTTTTAAGTATATTTTGAGTACGCTCATACGCGTTGTTTATGTTATTTTGAGGACGCTTATACGCGTTATTTACGTTATTTCGAGGTTTAAAATTTCGAGGACGTTATACGCGTTGTTTACGTTATTTCGAGTACGCTCATACGCGTTTTTTACGCTCATATGCGCCTATTTTGTTATTTGAGATGAAGGATCAATTTTTCAAGCCTGAGATATGTTATGTAAGGCGCATGTTATTTTTAAAAGATCTAATTTTCGAAATAACGCGCATGCCCCGTTGTTTCACGATTTCGAAATAACTGTTATTCCGTGATTTTACAGTACGTTTAATAAAGCCACATTTTAGAATGTGTATTCAGGACAACTTCGTTTAGAAAAATAAAGAACTTTAAGCGCTATGAATTTTTTCATTGAATTGATTGGGCAATTGTCGCATTATCTTATTTAAAAAACTTGTAATCATTAATGTATACATTTTTATAAAAGTGAGCAGTCATCATAGTCTTTTTCAAAATAATGATCGTTTAAACCATGATAATATTTAAATATTATGTAATTTTTTTTTTTTTTGGATGAATAAATTGGATGTTACCAATTATAGAACTACCAATGCATTTTTTCATTCTGCATTTTTATACTGTAATATATATATATCACCATATAGTTTAAATTATAACTTCAGTTATTCTGTATGTTCCTTCAAAATTTGTCTTAAAATCTTTTGAAATATTACTGTATAACCAGTTCTATATTCTGCCTAATCTTTAAGAACTTGTAGAACTTTACTTTAAATCGATTATCGCGGTGCAACTTTTATTCTACGAAAATAAGGAAAAGATTTCAACTTTATTAACTTTAAAATATGTTTTTTAGATTCTGGAATCGAAATATTTTGGTCTGTCTTTGAAAATAATTACACATATACTTAAGATTACTTAAGTTGGATGCTTCATTTAAAATCGTTTACATAATAAGACTTATAATGTATGCTCATTTTTTACTTTTTATGAATAAATTGGGTGAAGTTTTCTCCTTTGTGGAAAGGTCTGTGTCAATCTCGACTATTTTCGTCTTGGTATTCCCTGATATATTACATAATGTTATGCACTTGTCATGTGGATTTTATTTATGTAATACCGTTATTAATGAACTTCCTTAAATTTGTAAATAGTTTCGTTTTTACGTACGTATCCGGTTTTTTTCTGAATTAATAAATGCCGTGGTGTATTTATTAATGTTGTTGAATTATTTTATTTTATTATTATCAAAATTTTAGGAATTATTTAGTTACCGTGTTTGGTACATTATCTTTTTTTTTTTGAGTACGTAAAAGATTTTTAATTTCTGGCTTTACCCTTCTGTGCGACAACCTGTTTAAGCTTGGTTCATGTCACACCAAAAATTTCTCGTGTCTTCTTTTTGAAAAAATATTACCTGTCAATTTTAATTAATCTTATCAACTTTCATCTTAACATTGTTTTAATATTTTCGCTGATCTTTTAGAAGATTTAATTTTTCTTTTGAATTTATAAAGATGAATATATTCAGCAATAAAACTAAAAGAACTGCGGTCTCTGAATGGATCGGTATGAAATTTATTGTCATTTTCTCCTTAATTTGCTTGTATTTATTTTAAATTATCTTCCAAGAACGCATGACTTCGAATCGTTATGAGGAAGATGATCTATCCGATATGTATCAGTTGTGTGAAGTTATCAGATTGCAGGAAACCGGGTAGGTTACTTAATCCTTGGCATCTTAAATTCTTATAACAGATATATGCTAAATATTTTTTTCCATAAAGACCTAAAGAAGCTAATAAATCTTTAAGAAATGTTTTTAAATATGGTGATACACATTCTCAGCTTCGTGGTCTCACTGTATATTACCTATCTTTAATTTTTACAAAAAATTCTTTTTTTTTTATGCTTTATCTGATTGGACCATAACATTATTCATAATTCTTTTAGATTTTAAAGACATTGGTTGATAACTGTGGTGAAAGTTTTCAAGGTATATTACAAATTATATAATACATTTAAATTATTAAATGTTTGTAAAATATCTAAATTAGTATATAATCTTGTAAAGCTCAAATTTCCACTCCAAAATTTATTGAACTGCTGAAATCTATGGCGAATTCTTCGGTATCTATTAATATTTATCTTACGACCCTGTTAAAAAAATAAAAAAAAAATTTAAATTACCTTTACCTTGATTTTCATATTATCCTTATCCATATATATATTAGACCACCGATCCGAAAGTTCATAAAAGTCTGATGTTACTGCTCTCCCAATGGTCCAATGATTTCAAAAATCAATCCAATATGTACGCTATAGCTCATTTATATGACAGTGTGAATCATAAAGCTGGCTTTTCTAGAAGAAATTCTAGTACAAGGCCGGTACCTCAAATTCCATCTTCCACAAGTTCTAAAGAGAGACGAGAAAGTTTGGATAAATCTAATAATAAAGGACCACAATCTCCTACCTATTCACCAGAAAAGGTATATTGTTGATCCCTCTGTAAGGCCTATGTGTTAATTGTCTTTGAAACTCACTTCTTGTTTAGATTAACCAGGAAATTGGGATGGCGACTCAAAATGCTACAAATCTCTTAAATGCAATTATTTTACTAACTCCGAACGCAAATATTGAAAAGGATCCCGAAATTCAGGTGCATAATGTTATTGGATATTTAATTTTTAAAATCATCACATAGTATTACGAGTCGCTTATATTTAATTTTCTGTTTAGAAATTGTTTCGCAAATGCAAAGATTCTTCCGAACAATTAGGCAAAATTATACCATTTGTCATGGATTCTGACAAATTGGGTACTTGCAATTATTTTTCATTCTTTTTTTTTTTTTTTTACTGCTTCATTCACTTTTTACCAATGTTAATTATTATAAATCAAAGGTCCTTTATTACAAGCAAATGATCAAACGCTAGATGCTTTATCAAAATATTTGGAAGTGTGTGAATCTTTTTCACAAAATTCCAAATCGGAAAACATTTCATCTGAAATAAAGCCAAGAAAAATCTCATCTCAAGCACAAGAAGCAGCCAAGGTTTTTATATTATATAATTATTATTGATAGCATATTAAAATTTTTTTTATAAAATTAATTGTTTTGCATATTCAAATATTCAGATACACAAAGATCTTGATCTTATTGATTTTGATTCATTTTCTGCATCAAGGTAAAGCATCTTAACATATATAAATTTGTTCTTACATTACTGTTTCGAATCTTTATTAATGAAATTTTCTTTTAAAGTCACTCCGCGGATAACAATATAGTTTATGATAACAGCTTGCTTGAAGATCCATTTGCTGATCCATTTTCTGATCCTATATTGGAACCAGAACTTGGTAACAAAACCAAGAAGAAATACGAATGGTGAGTCAGAAAAAGACACTAGCAGTACTTTTCATTATGCACATGTTTTTAAAATAATATTTACTACTTTTAAATTTTAGGACTGAAGTTTAATTTCAAAATCAAGGGTTAATAAATTTGTAACCGTATCGTATAATATCATATTTTGTATTTATTTCAAAGGTTTACTATAAAGAAAACGACTTGTAGCTGGCTGTCATAACTGTATAGTGAATTACAAAATTGTATACATATCTGTTTATATAAATATTTTTGTAATAACCTTTGATACAAAATGAAATATACCATAGTTTTAAATAAAAATAAATAAAATATACTTAGTCTTTTTAAAACTTAATTATTGAATTTTATATTAAATTATTATATAAATCTTTAATTTCAATCTACTAAACCAATTTAGATAATTTAACTATCAAAATGATTCTCTCAATGAGAGGATCATTTTGATAGTTAAATTATCTAAATTGGATTAGTAAATCAAAAGTTATAGATTTTTAAATTTTATATATTATTAAAATTATAATAACATATTAGTACTTTGTTTACTACTGTAACTCTTTTTTTACATAATAACTTTAAATAAAATTTTACAGATTTTTTTGTAATTGTTATACCAAGTTACTTGTATAGTAGCACAAAGCAACATATAATTTTTTTTTTTTAATTTTTCCATGCTATTACAGCAATCGGAACGCTAGTGGTGTCTTTTTATTAGAACTATTTATATTGTATTACATTGTGACTTTTTGTCTATATACAGCTACATGTGCTACCCTACTATGTACTTTGTTTCCATATTACCCGCTTGTGAACTACCTTACCTATCCGGCGGTGTTATCAGTGTTAGCTTCTGTGTTTACAGGTTCGGTTTCCCAGGCCTACTTTCATGTCACCAGGTGCTTTTTCCATCCATATTTCCTTATTTTATTTGCTTCTGAGTTTACAGGTTCAGGTGACCAGGCCTACTGTCATGTCACCAGGGGCGTCCTTATGTGGTCGATCCTACTTGAAGTTTTAGTTTTCCTTCTGTTTCAGATTTGAGCAAGGGTACTTTAAGTGGTTCCTCTGTACTCCTTTTTTCTTTTTTGGGTAGATATCATGTGCCTTATATCTTTATCGGGGGTTCCTCATGTTAACAACTTTCTTTTGTTGGATTTCTGTCCTTTTCTAGAAGTTGCATGACCTTTTTGTGGCTATGTCTCGCAATCTTGTAACCAAACGTGGTTCTGGCAGAGAATGATTTCCCCCGTGGGTTTCGAACTCGCAACCTTGCGTTTGAGACCTAGGAGTCAACATATAATTTTAATTAGTTAATTTTTAAAAAATTAAAAATTTTTAGATATTTTTAGATTTTTATTAATTTTTTTAAAAATATTAAATCAAGGAATTATAAAAATTTTTTTTAGAAATATGTTTTATATATACTTAGATATTATATGTATTTTTTTGATTGCTTATTAATATGCAAAAATTTGAGCTATTGTATTTAATTGAAATGTATCAGAATAATATATTATGCTTAATGAAATTACCAATACTTGGAAATTTTTTTAAACTTACTAATATAATATTTGTTAAATTAGCTAACTTTAAGTATATCAAAATAAAATATAAATATTTATTTATAAATTTTTTTTTTTAACATAATGCTATAGCATATAACTTTATTATTATAAAGCCATATAAACTTAATTTTTTGGTTCTCATAATTTGGCCAGGTCATATTTTGAAAATTTTTTGAAAAAATTTAAACAAAAAACCTAAAAAATACAAAAACAGCAATCTAAATCTACTTTGGATAAATTAATCAACTTATATATAACTACTTAAAACCAAACCTAACTCTAATATAGGATTTCCTAACCCTAAAAGTTAATTGAAAAGGTTATAAATATAAGTTGCCTTTACTTTAGATGTTCCCCAAAAAAGAAAATTTTCTATAGAAAATTATCAAACACTGCTTTTTTATATAGTAAATTTTAATTTTTACTTTATTTTATATATCTATTTGGCCAAATTTATACAAACTTTATACAGGCTTAGATCTAAGTTGTATCAGAGATCTTTGAGGTCCTGGTTTAATAGCTAGATGGGATTTCAAAAATTTTTTCAAAAAATTTAAAATTTTTTATATATAAAATTTAAAAAAATTAATTTAGTACACCTGCACTATAATGTACTTCTATAGCAAATTCTTAAGTTAAGATTAGTTAGAATTAGGGTTAGAGTTAGAGTTAGGGTTTAAATTAAAGTTAGGGTTAAGTAAAATTGCGAAAGAAGCATTTTTATTTAGTTACATGACAGGGAGTTATCTTAGTAAAATTTTGAAATATAGCAAATTTTAATTAAAGTTAAGATTAGTTAGAGTTAGGGCTAGGGTTAGGGTTAGGGTTTAGGTTAGGGTTAGGTAAAATTGTGAGAAGATCATTTTTTGTTAGTCATATAATAGGGTTATTCTAGTAAAATTTTAAGATATAGCTAAGGTACACCAAAATATTAAATTTATAAAATTTTTTAAATAAAAACCAGATAGATGGGTTATTACTTTATTTAATACTATAATGCTAGGTTATTTATTTATTTTTTTTTAACTCTTTAACAGTCTTGCCAAAGCTCAAATACAACTTTATTTATTTAATCAATAATAGTAAACCATTTCAACTAAACTAAGTTTTAAAATTGCAAGCTTAACATCTACTAGTTATGTAAAACATGCCTATTAGCAACTCATCGCACCATCTTGTATACAAATTGGATAGACCTTGTCAGCTTGTCAAAAGCTAATCTCTTTAATTCTTTTTTCTTTACCAAGAGCAAAAAAAAGTAATGATTTTATACCAAACTACAAAACTGCTAATTATTGAACCAAAAAAAAAATATATCTAATAAAAACAAAATAAATGAAAAAAAAGTTTTCAAAAATAACAACTCTTTCCAATGATCATTTGTACCAAAAAATCCAAACACATTTTTTTGTAAAAACACAATAGCTTTTAGTAAAACACGGAGAGCATACTAGTTACTATAAGTCGGCAGTTGTTATTTAGAGGTAGTTCTCATATACTACCTGCTAACTTCTTTAGAGTTTATCACTCACT